AGATATGCAGGAGACACGTGATAAAGAATCCAATATGTGTGAGTTCAAAGGAATGAGGCTAGTTGCCCTTATGGTTCTTGGGTCAGTTGCTGTGCTTCCTTTTTGATTTCCAGAACACAGAAGGGCAAAATATTATATTAGTACTTTGATTGACAGGAAGAATTCAGAAGAGTGGGAGAAAATAATTTTATTTTCTTTTGAAAATAACTTGATGGCTCTGGTAAAAATGATACCTGTTTATTGTAAAAAGTTCAGAAGGTGAAAAAAAGAAAAAGAAGAAAAGACATTAGGAATAGAACTGGAATAAAAAAAAAAAAACACCAGAAATCCAATAAACTATTATTTCCATCCATTTAGGCAAATTTACACACTTATATACGCATTTAGCTCTACATAAAGCGTTATGCGTAAATGGAATCACACTGCATGTGGTCTTTTTTCCAAAACCCATTTTTTAAAAAATGTCTTCATGCACCAATATGTTGGGGAAATAAAGGTCACCATCATTATTCTTTGCAACTGTTTAATGTTGTTTGCCAAAGTTCTATGTTAAAACATTTCCAAGGATCCGGTACACTTTTTAAAAATGTTCAAGGATCGCCATGGGCAATATCAGAAGGTATGATTTCTGGGAAGTCACAAGGAATGTTACCATTACCATTTTGATACATATTAGCAAATTATCTGCCTAAAAGATTGCCCCAGTTGATGCCTTGTCATGACACGCGTTCATCATCATTGCTTTTGTAAACCTTTGCTAATCTAATAGGCAAAATAATCTCAGTAATTTAATTTCTGGGTTTTTAGAAATTCTTATTTATTTATTTATTTACTTATTTTGAGCCAAAGTCCTGTTCTATCTCCTGGGCTCGGATGCAATGGCCTTATAGCCCCCAAACTCCTGGGTTCAAGCAATCCTCCTGCCTCAGACTCTTGAGTAGCTGAGACAACAGGTGTGAGCCCCCATACATGGCTAATTTTTCTATTTTTTATAGTGACAGGATCTCGCTATGTTGCTCAGGCTGGTCTCAAACTCCTGGCTTCAAGCGATCTTTCTCCTTGGCTTCTCAAAGTGCTGGGATTGTGTATCACCACACCTGACCTTTTTACTTATTTTTAATCTTTAATGTATGTTTAGTGCCTATTAGTATTTCTTAAAGGATGACACATATACGACTAAAGTTTTGAATAGTTATTTTGGTAGAAAAAATTTCCTCTCTGCATTACTTACACCAGCTACAGTATTAAGCAGAAGTAATCAAATAGGGAATCAATATACCAATGAAAGCATAAAATACAATGGAATATCTTGTAGCTGCACAAAGAGAATACTTCGAATGAATATTTAACGGTATGGGGGAATGAATATACTGTAAATTTTGAGAAAATTTTTTGAGGAAAAATCAGAATGCAAAATAATTTACAGAACAATTCCAACTGTGTTAAAATATATATGTTTCAAAGAAAAGAGCTGGAGGAAAATTACAAGATTGGGAGGAAATGCTGCAAGAAGTCGTTAATGTTGGTTATCTCTATGAGATGGAATTTTAAATTTTCTTCTATTTCGCTTGGGGAGACACTGACATTTTTTATGGTATGGAGCTAATATTTAAAATTTGTTTGATGTGTGTATTGTCATCTGTGTTTGGGGTCTCTCTCGGTCTCTTAACTTGAATCATAAATGATTTACTTTTGTGAATTAAATGGACACATGCTTTGGTTTTTCCATAAAGCTAAGGAGCATGGTCATTAGTCCTGGCACTAAGTTACGGGGCCAGATTCCTGCTTTTAAGAAATGTGCCATCTTGAATGGGTGGAAGACAAGCACCCAACACCCACAGCACAAAGAGAGGAGTCTGTGAAGGTCCGGCAAAGCCACCAGAGGAGGTGGCACTTCAGCCCAGCCTTCAAGGATACATTGACATTTTTGGTAGTATTTTTTTTTCTTCTGATGCTATAAGAAATACATGTTTGTTGCAGAAAATAGGAAAATGTAGGAGATAACGCATCTGAGGGGTTATGATCATGTGTAGGACACTGTGCTAAATTCTGCATTGTATATGAAATAATCTTATCTGGTCTCCCCAGCAGCCCTGTGAGGAGCCATGGGGTAGACCAGCAGGAAACATGCAGAGAAGAGGAAAAGGCCCTGGGAGCAAGCCCCAAGTCAGAGACAGGGACACCTGACCAGATGGGGCTACGTGGAGAGGAGGCTGCCATCAGGGAAAACTTTACAGCAGTAGTAAGCTCAGAGCTGACTCTTAAAGGATGAGAAGGAAGGAGTGGCCAGGTGGAGTAGGGGGAAGGGTGTCCCAAACAAGGGGAAGAACATCTGGAAAAGTGTATCAGATGCAAGAGACAATGTGTTGGAAAACGCTGGAAAACCAGCAAGTGATTTCAGGATGGCTGGAGCACAGAGTGTGCGTGTGTGCACGTCTCTGTGTGTCTGTGTGTAGGTGTGTGAGTGTATCTGTGTATGTCTGTGTGTCCACATGAGCGGGAGTGTGCCTTCAGAAACTTGGAGTGATGGGAGTCTACAGAGGCAGGCAGGGTCCAGATCATGAAAGACCATCTATTCCTAATAAAATCTTAGAGTATTAGGGAAAGAGTCTGGGAACAGAATGAGGAGATCCCTAAAAGCCAGCTTATCAGGACAAACTTTATTTACCTGGAAGACAATGGGGAACCTTTGAGTTTTTTGATATGATAAAATGAGAATTGGGCTTTCAGAGGATGCTTGGACTGGATGGTTTGGAGAAGAAAGGGGCAGGAGAGCAGGAGACCGCTTGGTAGGATATTACGATAGTCAAAATGGGAGGTGACGAGTGTATGTGTTAGGACGGCAGCTACAATTTATCTGAGAAAGTCCTCTGGTTCCCGCATCCTGGGCTGTACTGAGGTAAGATTAACAAATAAAAATTGTATACATTTAAGGTGTACAATGTGATGTTTTTATGTACAGATACACATTGTTGCCTTTTTGAATGTGTGGTGAGAGCACTTGAGATCTACTCTTTTAGCAAATTTCAAGTACATCATGCATTATTGTTAACTGTGTCACCATGCAGTACATTACGCCTCCAGAATGTATTCGTCTTACAACTGAAAGTTTGTGCCCTTTGACCAATATCACCTCTTTTTCTCCTACCCACCCAGGCCCTGGCAGGCACCATTCTATTCTCTGTTACTATGAGTACATTTAAAACAGAATTTTTTTTTTTTTTTTAAGATTCTACATATAAGTGAAGTGAGATCATGCTCTGTTTCTTTCTGTGTCTGGCTTATTTCACTCAGCATACAGACCTCCAGGTTCATGATATTGTTGCAAATGCTAGATTTTCTTCAGTTTTAAGGCTGAATACTATTGCATTGCATATACATACCACATTTTCTTCATCTATTTATATATTGCACTTCTTGTCTATTATGAATAATGCTGCAATGAACCTGGAAGTGAAAATATCTCTTTGAGATGGTGATTTTATTTGCTTTGGATAAATAGAAGAGGAATTGCTAATCATAGGGTAGTTCTATTACTATTATTATTATTTTTTTTTTTTGAGGACCTTGAATACTATTTTCCATAATGGCTGTACCAATTTACATTCCCATCAGGGTCCAAGGGCTATCTTTTCTCCACATCCTTGCCAATATTTATTATCTTTTGACTTTTTGATAACAGCCATCCTAACAGGTGTGAAGTGGTATCTCATCGTGATTTTGATTTGCATTTCTCTGATGATTATTAAGAATGTCAGGCACCTTTTCATATACTTGTTGGGCACTGTTGAACCTCCAAAGCAACAGTTCAAAAACATGTCCTTCCTTTCTTCATCAATTTATAAATATTTACTGAGCACCTACGCCATGCTCAGTCTGTGCGTGGGAATCCCTAGCATAAGCAATCAGATTGTAGCAATCCAGTGTCCAAGGTCCCAGAAATCAGCAGCCACAGAAGGGGGTGAGCAGTGGAAACACCAAGGCCAATCCTGGAATATCTGGGTGGGCTTGCTGTAGGAGGGGACATCTAAGCTGAGAAACCCTGGGGCTCCCCAAGTGAATAAGATATGGCTTCTCTCTCGGGGGTAGAAACAAACAAATAAATAATGCCATGCCATTTGACACAGAGATGCAGCTAAGTGATGCATATATATTCTATCTTTAGTTTGGGAAAAAAAAAAAAATTCTCCCAGCAATTTACCCCTTTTAAGGCTGAGCTATCTGGAACAATGCCCAGCAGGACAGTGAAGTGGTGCTTGAGCCCTCCCTGCAGCGGATCCCCAGGACTTTGAAGGAGGAATTCAGGGTCCTCCTGGCTACTGAAAGGAAAATAGTTAATGAGCTTTGGTGGCAGGTGGCTAAGGTCCGGAGATTCGGCCTCCCAGTGGTGTCCACCACCCTGAGCCACCTCCCAGTGGTGTCCGCCGCCCCGGGCCTCCGCTCATCTGGCTTAATGGGGCCAAAAGAGGGCCGCATTAATTGGTCTGGGCACCTGAAGTAGAGCAGGGTGGGCAGTAGAAAGAGAGAGCAAAACACGCTTCAGGTATTAAAGTTGGGGGGGGGGAACCAACCCCAAAGCAAAAGGAAAGTGAAATCAGGCAGAGGGAAGGGAGCATTCCTCAGGCAGACACTTTGTGAACCGCTGGGGGGAGCACCCTTCGGTGCGGAGGTCACCTGCCCAACCCGCACCTTCCGGTTGTGGAGCCAAAATAGGTAGCTCCAGGGCAGGGACAGCAGCAGGGGGCAGCATCGCATCCGTACGCTCTCACGGTCCCCCAATTCCCAGGCCGCTGCTCCCCACTTCCTGCAGCTTGGCTCAAAGCCGGGGCGTGTGTGAGGGGCGGGACCGCCCGGAGAGGAGGGATTTAAGGAAAAAAAAAAAAAAAAAGAAAAAGAAAGGTAATTAACATCTTCCGATCCCATTGGTTCTCTGCCGGCTCTGCTTTGCATATGCCCGCCCCACTGGCTGCCCCGGGTTTTGAGGGGCTCTGCTGGGTTTGCAGGCGCCGCGGCCGCTGCTGCGCTTCAGTGCAGGGCTGGCGGGCGCCGAGCGAGCCAGGGCTGGAGCCGGGAGCCAGTTGCTCTCGGAGCTGCGGCGGCTACATCTGGGGCGGTCTCCGTCCTATCAACGCTGTGGCCAGCGCCGGGCAGCGTCTGCCCAGCCAACCCAGGAGGAGCGGTGCAGACACTTTTTATTTTGGAAGAAAAAGGCAAGTCCGGTGGGAGCTTCCCTCCCGGCCTGGCTGGCTCCTCAGTGCGCCCCAGCTCCGCACAGACTCTGGAGGATGACTCCGAGGTCTGCCCTGTGTATTCTAGCAGCGGCGGCTCGGGGTGGCAGCCGAAAGTAGCAACACACTTGGTCTAGAAGCGGCTGGTGGAAAAGTGAGCCGCGGCGGCACGAACTTGGCTCTACCCGCGCCCCCGGCGCCGGCTGTTCCTCGCGGCTCCTTCCTCTTGGCTCCCCGGCGGCCGCAGCATGAAGTGGCGCAGCGATGGCCAGGAGAGGTAAGAAGCCCGTGGTGCGAACCCTGGAGGATCTGACGCTGGACTCGGGTTATGGTGGCGCGGCGGACTCGGTGCGCTCTTCCAACTTGTCTCTGTGCTGTTCCGACTCGCACCCGGCGTCCCCGTATGGCGGGAGCTGCTGGCCGCCTCTAACTGACTCCATGCACAGCCGGCACAACAGCTTTGACACTGTCAACACTGCCCTGGTGGAAGACTCCGAGGGGCTGGACTGCGCCGGCCAGCACTGCTCGCGGCTGCTGCCGGACCTCGACGAGGTCCCCTGGACCCTCCAGGAGCTGGAAGTGCTGCTGCTTCGCTCGCGGGATCCCCGGGCAGGCCCGGCGGTCCCCGGCGGCCTGCCTAAGGACGCGTTGGCCAAGCTGTCGACACTGGTGAGCCGGGCGCTGGTGCGCATCGCCAAAGAGGCGCAGCGCCTGAGCCTGCGCTTCGCCAAGTGCACCAAGTACGAGATTCAGAGCGCCATGGAGATCGTGCTGTCCTGGGGCCTGGCAGCGCATTGCACAGCGGCCGCGCTGGCCGCACTGTCTCTCTACAACATGAGCAGCGCCGGCGGCGACCGCCTGGGCCGCGGCAAGTCGGCTCGCTGCGGCCTCACCTTCTCTGTGGGCCGCGTGTACCGCTGGATGGTGGACAGCCGCGTGGCGCTGCGCATCCACGAGCACGCCGCCATCTACCTGACAGCTTGCATGGAGAGCCTCTTCCGGGACATCTACGCGCGAGTCGTGGCCTCCGGGCTGCCCCGGAGCTGCAGCGGGCCTGGCTCAGGCTCCGGGTCGGGCCCAGGCCCGGCCTCGGGTCCCGGTACGGCCCCCGCGGCGGATAAGGAACGAGAGGCGCCCGGGGGAGGAGCGGCAAGCGGCGGCGCCTGTAGCGCAGCCAGCAGCGCCAGTGGGGGCAGCAGCTGTTGCGCCCCGCCGGCAGCCGCGGTCCCGCCAGCAGCAGCCGCCAACCACCTCCATCACCACCACCACGCGCTCCACGAGGCGCCCAAGTTCACTGTGGAGACCCTGGAGCATACAGTGAACAACGACTCCGAGATCTGGGGGCTCCTGCAGCCCTATCAGCACCTCATCTGCGGGAAGAACGCCAACGGTAAGTGGCCGCGTGGGTGCCACTCCCTCCTGCCCAATCCGGCCAACTCTTGGCGCAAGTTTGTCTCGCGTCCCCCTCCCGCGCCTTCCCAGCCACCAGCTACTGTCCCAAGCCTCTGAGAAGGTGGCCCGGCTGGGGGCGGCCCGAAACCCGCCTGTTAGCCCCTTCTGCGGTCAGGATCCGCTTACTTCGCGCGGCTGTTAAGGTCCCAGGTGCACCAGCACGCGGTTCCGCCCCCGATGCAGGGCAGGGAAGCGGGCGAAACCCTGCACCAGTTTGGGGGAGCAGGTTTGAGATCATTTGCGCTTAGTACATATCTTGTATCAGAGAACTGCTTGTTTTGACCTTGAAAAATACACATTCCTGGGCACTCGAATTTAGTTTCCTAGGATCCGGGAGGAGGTGCGTACCTCTCTCCGCTGCCGGGGACGCCTAGTTCTCCCACGCCCTCTGGGGACACTCGGGGCACTGGGGAAAGAGGGGTCGGAGGTCGTAAAGGCAGAATGGTTGAGAGCTCGCTCCGGGCCTTGAAACAGTTGGGGAGAAGTGTATGTGGTTGAGAAGGTGGAGCGGGAAGACTCGTCGGTCCCAAGTTTTTATGGGGCAGTTTTTGTGGGCCAGAGTACACAGATGGTGGGGGCAGTGCAGTGGACAAAGCCCCCAGTTTCGACCTCCCAGGTGTTGCTGCTTTCTGATCCCTCTAGCAGGGAGCTGCAGCTGTCACCACTTGGCTGAAGGAAGGCGAGGGCCCCAGGCAGGATGGAGGTGGGGTGGGGTTCGGCGGGGGGGTGGGGGAGAGGTGTGTGTGTCAGTTTAAGGCGTCGCCAGCAGCAGGTTCTGTTGTTCCCTCTCCGCGCTCCCCCTGTTTGGAAAGCCTGAGCTGGGTGGGTTTGAACTCGCGGTTCTGGCGGCGGAGGGGGTGGGGCCGAGGGCGCTTGTTTTCGAGAGCTCCCGCTGGCGGTGCTGCCTGTCTGCGAAAGCCGGAGCTAGACACTTCAAAGCTTCAATTTTCCACAGGAAATGGTAGAAGCGTAACTGGAGACTCTAAAAGCGAAATAAAACTTTGTTACATATTCGGTGGTTTGGAGGAGGTTGAGCGGTTGGAGCCGAAATGCAGTCTTTCTGGGCAGATTTCATTCATGTTGCTGCCTGTCTATTTCCCGGGGGATGAGGGAGAGATGCGGCGGGCGGTGCAGAGTGTGGGAATCCGTGTGTGCGTGCGCAAGTGTGCCTGTGGGTGTGCGCAGGAACCAGAGGGCGCGCAGGGCGCCTGGCTCCAGCGGAAACCCTTCGGAAACCCACCCTGCAGCTCTCAGTCCCTTCACCTGGATTTGATCATCGGTGGGGGAAGGGAAGGAAGGAGCAAACTGTGTGTGTGTGTGTGTGTGTGTGTGTGCGCGCGCGCGCGCGCGCGCGGAGGGGGATCCACATTGATCTGGAGATTCTGGGATCTCTTTGCCAGAGCCCCTCCCCCTCTGCTGCCTGTCCAGGACACAACCCCCAAAGAGAGGCTACCTTTGGGGGCCCACACTCAGAATCTTGACCATGATGGAAACATCTGGGGAGAAGGCATTTGGCTTTATATGTGCTTGTTCAGAATAGGGGGAGGGGATTCACCTGCCAAACCCAGGAGCTTTGGACTGGGTTGTTCTTTGTTCCAACTCAACCCCCATGCAAAAACACAGACAGGCTGAATTTCCTGCCTAGTGCCTGCTGGTACTGTCTGCCATTAAAATCATCCTTTACACCTTGCTGCCCTTAACCGATCACCCACCTCTGGGGCTGGAAAGGCTTGTTTTATCACTCAGTACTTCCTTTGAGAGGAACAAACTTTGCCCTCAGGAGGCTCTAGTTTGGAAATCCAGGCACCCTGTTCCACCTCTGTCTTTGCCATTCACTTGAAGTTGTGACTTTGGGGCAAGTCCCTTTATTTCTCTTGGCCTCAGTCCTCCTCCTCTGTAAAACTCCGGCCTGACCTGGATCCTGCCCTCAGGGGCTCTCTCAGCTCTGTGTTAGTAGCCTCATATATTTTTTCCAATCGGTTTTACTTTCGTGATCCTTAACATCTTTTAAAGACAGTTTTTGTGTTTATCCTTTTTGGAGGAAGTATAATTTAAGGAAGGAGAAGACCACAGAGTTGGTTTTGGGGCAGGGCGAGTGTGTGGTGGTTGGGGTTTGCTGGCATCAAGGCCTTTCCCACACCAGGGAGCTTAACTCCTGGGTTGCAGGGCCCCTCCATCCTTCCCTGGAAATGAGATATACTGTAATTTCATTGAGATATCTTCATCTCTTTTCTTTGGGCGTGTTTAAAATGGCAGGTCATTTATGCAGGAGCGTTGAAGAATGAGTGATTAATTCCTTAGGTATGTGAAACATACATTAAACATCAAACCTATTTTTTAAACTATTTTGCACACAGTCTTTCTGATCTGCAAGCCTTATTAAGAACCGTATACCTTACCTGATAGATTTTTTTCCCCTTTAACTCAGTAGCATCGCTTATTTATTCATTTGTGAGTTCATTTGTTCATCAATACTTATTGAGCAGTTTCTAAATGCTAGGGACTGAGCCAGCAATGGGTGAGAAGTACCAACAGCTACGACTCTCTCTGTATAATTGACCCATTTTATCCTCAGCATTCTCTTGAAAAGGTATTGTTCCATTATATAGAGGAAGAAACTGAGGCACTAGGAACTTGAGTATTTCGTGTATTTGAATATGGACAACCAGGGTTCATACTCTTAACTGCTGCCTGTATGTCTCTTTAGTGAGAGAGGAGTTCACTGCCATCTGCCTGCCCTTCGTTACCTCCACAGTTGAAGAGGGACCCTGTTCAACTGACATTCTTCCTGTCCCAATGTCTATACCTTTTGTTCGTCCCAAACTGAACTGGGCAGAACTGGATTTTACATGTTTTTACATCCTCTGCCAAGCCTAGGGGAGGTCCTAGCACACAGTTGAAGCTTGTTAGATGCGTGTTGAGTTTTGCAAACTATTGCGCACGATGATGTCCCGAAAGAAGCTATTGCTTTTTGAGTTACTTAAATCTTTTCAAGTTTTTCTACCTTGTTGTTGTTTTCTTAGAGACAGAGTTTCTGTATATTGCCCCAGGCTGGTGTCAGACTCCTGGATCGCCCGGTCTAACTGCCATCTCTGCGTCTGTCCACTTTTGTCATTTGCTGTTGCTAAACTGCCAAGGCGCAGGAAGCATGAAACTAGTCGCATGGGACTTGACTCTGAAAACAAAAGATAATTGGGTCTAAGCAAAGGAAGGCTGAGTGGCTCGCAAAAATCACATGCGTGGGCTTACTGCGGGCATGAACTTTGTGGTAATGTAAAAATCCTTCAGAGCTGGGTTTTTTTCTTTCCTTGTGTTAATTTTCAGCTGTTTTGAAGAGCTGGACAACAGTGAAGAGATCCCACTGGTATTTCTGTGGAGTTTTAAAATTTGACTTGATTGATTTTTCTAAAGCAATAAGAAGTAGGCAGAGGTGCTCCACGGGGCCTTGGTATGTCTTAGTCATTGTATCTATACTCCCCCGAGCTGGTCGGTTCCTGCCCATCTTTAAAGACTTGGCTTAGGAATGATCTTCCTGGCATCCCTGTGAGGGCTTCCTCCATGCAGCCCCTCCCCCACTCTTATTTAATTTGGCATCTCCTTTCATGTCACTTGTCACAGTATTTGGCACATTGTAGATGCTCTTGTACTGTTTGTTGAATGACTATAACCAGCATTTTTTTTTTTTGGAGACAGAGTCTCATTGCCTGCGTAGAATACCATGATATCATAGCTCACAGCAACCTCAAACTCTTGGGCTTGAGCAATCCTCTTGCCTCAGCCTCCCTAGTAGCTGGTACTCCAGGCGCCTGCCAAGATGCCCAGCTAGTTTTTCTGTTTTTAATAGAGATAAGGTCTTCCTCTTGCTTAAGCTGGTCTTGAACTCCTGAGCTCAAGCAATCTGCCTGCCTTGGCCTCCCAGAGTGTTAGGATTACAGGCCCAGCTGACCATAACCGGCATTTTTAATCTCAGCCATTCAAAATTTATCCAGTGGCTTCTGTAAAGGCAGTTTTTAAGGGAATGGCTTCTGAAGTTGGACCTACCTCCTGAATTTGAATTTCAAGGCTGCCATTTTCTAGCTGTGTGTTCTTAGGTATGTTACCTAACCTCTCTGAGCTCCAGTTTCCTCAGCTGTACAATCGAGTTAATAATTATGGGTATGAAATGAGGTTATATGTCTAAGGGTATTATAATCTGGTGCCTAAGACACAACAGGGCATAAGATGTGATGATATATAATAGTTGCGGTGATCATCCAGGTACAATGGTGTCACTCATCGCTATTGCATCCAAAATAATTCATCGCTATATGCTCCTTGAGGATGGAGCCAACACAGCACAGAATCTTAACTGGATCCCCCTTTGCCATTCTCAGCACCAAATAACTCAGTGAACTCACCCGCTATGGGCACAGCCCCACAGCCACAGTCATAAAATGATTGTTTTGGTCAAAGGAAAGTAGCTTATTTTATTTGCTGTATTTGTGAATTTAAAAGACGTCTTTAGTGATGGGGCCCCAGGAAACTTTCTCTGGTGGTCCCTTGTATTGATAGGGGTGTGGGTTCAATATGCATTTGTTACAACTTATCCTGTGATTTGTGCATTTCACTGTCTTGCAAAATATGCATCAGTTAACAAAAGAGACATACCCCAAAAGCTAGAGGCGTCTCTGAATGAAATTTTGTTTTAATTGTAGAAAGAATCTGAAAGGAAGACTGGAAGAGGCCATGTGGTCTGATGAAAGGGAAAGAGAGAAAGAGCTTACACTTAGAAAGTTCTACCTTCCCATTCTGCCTCTATCACTGGCTAGAAAGTGACTTAATTTTGCTGAACTTGGTTTTCTCATCTGTACAGTGAGAATTATAAAATAGAAAGACATAAAAAGGGAGGAAAGCCTGAACCTACCACATGGGGTGATTACAAGGATTAAATCAGATATG